AAATTTATATACAATACGTCATTGTAACTCAAACATCCATTCGATGCAACATGTTTATTTGTCGGTTGAACGATTCGGACCAATGTGTATGTATTCAACATTTTTTTTCGAGAATATCAATAGGATTCTAAAATCGTTAGCGCATGGTACTATTAATCATTCTAAGCAATTAATCAAACATCTTGAATTATTTCGTTCGTCGTTAATTCATTATAATACACCTATATATCCCCGTTTATTGTCAAATTTGTGTGAGCAATTATTGAATGAAAGGAAAACAAGAACAACTGATACGTTTACCCTTCCAAAACCATCACAAATGACGTATAATTCATATAGTGATTATCTTTCTGGTATACCTGGATTAAATAATTTAACATTTTATGATTCTGTTCGTTATAACAATATACGTTTTGAAACAAACATTCAGCATTCACGTACAACGGATGACTCTTGTATTATGTTTAAACAGTTGAACTGCACAGAATGATATTTAGGTTCCATTTCAGCGATACTAACAGCCGGTAATAATGATCAAAATACTTACCTTTTAATGAATAAAATAAAAATTAAAAATATGTTTAAAGTCAAACTGGTAGATAAAACAGACGAATTATTATCGAATTCATGGAATTGTTTATTAGATAAAGAATGTCTGCTATTAATTAGTTCAACTGATATTGAACAAAAACTTGTCCATCGATCTATTGATAACAAACAATTACATGTGTTTAGATATCCAAACTTGGGAGAGTCTAGTTGAGCAGGCTTTTACAGAATTTAAGCAAAGGTCGCTTTTTCTGCTTTCTGTTATTTGCCGTAAAAAACAGAGGGAACTTGTTGTATTCGAGATTTAGATGAACCTTATTTTTTACTTACTTTACGAAATTTTATGTTTATTAATACAGAAACAAAATGAAAGCACAAGTAATAATGCCAAACTTATGAGGCTAAGCAACTAAAAGTATCCTACGTAACTATTTATCTAAGCCTAATGACAAAAAAACAGGGGAAAAGACAACTAACCAACGAGGAAACCTATCGAAGTGATATCTTCCAATTCGTTCGTTCACACGGCGATCAATAGAGGATATCGAGCAAGTGAAAAGCCTGGAGGAATTATTCCCCATGACAGTTTAAGTCCCAGTTTTCTGGAAAACCAGTTTTTCAGGAAATCTAAAAAATAACCAAAGCCTTTCTTAGTGAAGCATGATTGTAGCGTGCAAATTTCTGATTAAAATGAGACATCTACCAGCTTTACACGACCTTTGTTCGCAAAGTTATATAATTTACAAGAAAAGCCCTAAATCAATTTTGGGTGAGTCTATTGACACTCCCAGGAGTGTCAACAAGAAGCTATTGCCACTCCTTGGGCGTGTCAACAAGGTGCTAAGATGAAGAAATCTTCTGAATATTTTCCTTGAGGTTCATAGCAAGCAGTTTTATTCATTTTCACAGACTAACTGAGTATAACTAATAGTATCAACTGCTCGTAGCTGATAGGAAAATAAAAGATGAGCCTCTTATTGATATTTGATTTTATACTTCTCCAACTGATATCCGTATGCCGAAAACTTTCGTTTATGTTCCGTTATAGATTGAAACTCTGTTTTTTCTTCAAATTGAATAAAACCGCTCTGATTATCAAACATAGTGTAATGGATGATAATTGGCTTGATGATGAAAGTGATGATAGTGACAATGCTCATGCTGAAGACAGTGGTTCAGAAACTGAAAATATTGATAGTGAAACAACAGAAGATGAAGGAGAGATCGATTTAGAAAAACCTAATTTAGAAGAAAGTAATCCAGATGAAAATGACACGCAAGGCTGTTCATACAGTTCAAGATCTGATATGGTGTGGTCTTCCACTCCATCTTATTCATCGCCAACAGAACATCATGGTAATATACAGTTAACACCTGGATCAACTCAATTGACCTCACATGTGGCTTCTGTTGAAGATGCATTTCTCTGCTTTATATCGGAAGAAATGTTAAAGAAAATTTTACTTTATTCGAATACTGCAGAAAACTCAAACAGAACTCTCGATGACA